TTTTTTTGAGACGGAGTTTCGCTCTTGTTACCCAGGCTGGAGTGCAATGGCGCGATCTCGGCTCACCGCAACCTCCGCCTCCTGGGTTCAGGCAATTCTCCTGCCTCAGCCTCCTGAGTAGCTAGGATTACAGGCATGCACCACCATGCCCAGCTAATGTTTTGTATTTTTTTTAGTAGAGACGGGGTTTCGCCATGTTGACCAGGATGGTCTCGATCTCTTGACCTCGTGATCCACCCGCCTCGGCCTCCCAAAGTGCTGGGATTACAGGCGTGAGCCACCGCGCCCGGCCTCCAACACTTTTTTTTTTTTTTTTTTAGATGGAGCTTCGCTCTTGTCACCCAGGCTAGAGTGCAATGGCGCAATCTCAGCTCATCGCAACCACCACCTCCTGGGTTCAAGTGATTCTCCAGCCTCAGCCTCCCAAGAAGCTGGGATTACAGGTGCTCACCACGATGCCTGGCTAATTTTTATAGTTTTAGTAAAGACAGAGTTTCGCCACATCGGCCAGGCTGGTCTTGAACTTCTGACCTCAGGTGATCCGTACACCTCAGCCGATCCGTACACCTCAGCCTCCCAAAGTGCTGGGATTACAGGCATGAGCCACCACGCCTGGCCTACAACATCTATTTTTTATGTAAATTAATACTATAATCCAATAAGTATTTAGCATGTACCTCCTGGGCTTATCGCAGCTATACAATCTGTTTTCCTGGTCATTACATGGTGCTTATCACAAACCCACAGAATTTTAAGGTTAGACTGGACTTCTTCACTCATATTTTAATGATGAAGCTACTGAGGTCCACTTTAATGAGGCCCAGAGGGGTTTAATGAGCTATTTAGTCATCAAAAAAAATGAATAAATTTCCAATCAGAAGTACTAGGGTCAAGTTCCAGCATTACTATCTAGGATAGCTTTGAACAATTTAGCATTCATGATCCTCAATCTCCTTATCTGTCAAATTATAAGAGTATTATATCATTCATAGGATTTTAATGGAGAACAGCATGGCAGATTGCAAAAATTCAATTATGTACAAAACAGAAAATTTCCACAAACCTTTTGAAGTTCATCAAGTAACAGATTTTTCACATGTTGTACTGAGGCTAAATGTGTATTCACTCTGACAGTTGTGAATGATGGAGGATGTGACAGGTGCTTTAATAAAGTTTCAAACTTCCTTTCTGCTGCTTCTTTACCGAAAGCAGACACAATCTAAAAAAGAACAAGTGAATGTTTAAATTTCTTAAGAATCAAAAAGTCAGCAGAACATGCTTACATATTCATTGCATCTAATTAAACATCATTTAGCAACTGTTCAGCTCCACTCCATTTTGCTGTATTGATTATATGTCAATAACACTAAGGAAACAGTAATACTTCACAAGGTTCTTGGGCTTAAATGTGGTAATATACAACTAAGAAAATGCCTGACATAAAGGGCTTAGAAAAACATTGCCTAAACTTCAAAGCATTATGAACATTTTGCAAATATTAATATCTGCTACATTTGCTCACATAAATTCACGAATTTAGTCTATTAATGATGTATTTCCAATACAACATCTCTGCAGAGCTAACATTATACCCAAGTTAGCTAGATGTTAGCTAACTAGCTAACACCATATCCAAGAGCAAACTGGGTGATATCCTTTAAAAACGCCAATATTTAAAGAATAAGTAACAATGATATAGTCACTGCCATTCAAAGATTCCCCCAGAACATCAGCTTTTTAATATGGTATTATTAAATGTAACATGTATTTTCCAAAACAGATGAGTTGCAAAGACACCTGTCAGATATGACGATATAAAGACTCAATGTTCCCTTGTAATTAATCGAAGCTTTTCAAGAAACATTTTTCTTTTCATATTTGACTAAACCCTGCTCTACAGAATCTTGACAAACCACTTGTTAGCCTAATCCACTAGCCTTAAAGTATTCAGTATTTCTTAAGGCTTAGTCGTATCAAAACTGAACATTCAGTCTGGGCAACATGGTGAAACCCCGTCTCTACAAACAATACAAATATTAGCCAGATATGGTGGCCCCTGTCTGTGGTCCCAGCTACTCAGGAGACTAAGGTGGGAGGATCGCTTGAGTCCCAGAGGTCGAAGCAGCAGTGAAGTGAGATTGCACCACTGCACTCCAACTTGGGCAACAGAGTGAGACCGTGTCTCAAAAACAAACAACAAAAAGACATGAAACTTAATATTCCTTTTCCGGCAATACTTTTTACAAAGGCACAGCTTTTCTTTTTGTAAAACCATACTGTTGATGAGACTCTTGAAGCAGAGGTGGCGTCAAAGATGTGTGGATCTTCTTTATAAAACAATGTTCACCATTTTAAAATCTGCTGAAAAAAACTGTGGAGTGTCCCTACTTCTCTTAACATGTCTTATATTTAAACTCTCTTGAAATCAACAGAATGTATTTTCTCTTTCCAGTCTAGTCCCTCAATGTAATCTGTGAAATGAAATGAAGGAATGAAATATAAAAGGCATGGCTTCAGTAACATTCAAAAATGAGGCAGCGCACAGTGGCTCATGCCTGTAATCCCAGCACTTTGGAAGGGCGAGGTGGGCAGATCACAAGGTCAGGAGTTTGAGACCAGCCTGGCCAATATGGTGAAACCCCATCTCTATTAAAAAATATAAAAATTAGCAGGATGTGGTGGCAGGCGCCTGTAGTTCCAGCTATTTGGGTGGCTGAGGCAGGAGAATTGCTAGAACCCAGGAGACCGAGGTTGTAGTGAGCTGACATTGGGCCATTGCACTCCAGCCTGGGTAACACTGCAAGACTCCGTTCCATCCCCCACCCCAAAAAAAATAACATTTAATTGGTGTTAATTTGAGTAAAATACTAACGTTTTAGAAAAAACAAAGTTGCTTAGAGGCAGCATGGTAAAGTGGAAGAGAGGACAGGCTTTGCAATCAAAGACAGTCAACATTTATAGAGGACATCTGTGGTAGGCACTGCCAATAGCAAACAAAATTAACATTTTTTGAGGACTTAACATGCCAAAGCAATGTTAGTTGTTTTAACTTACGTTTAATATCCTAAAACAACCTGGTAAAATAGTTTTAATTTGACTAAAAAAACTAAAGATTTGGAAAAAAACAAATGTGCTTAGAGGCAGCGTGGTAAAGTGGATTAGAAGACGGGACTTTGCAATCAAAGACAATCCACATTTACTGAGGACTTCAGCAAACAAAATTAACATTTTTTGAGGCCTTACATGCCAAAAAAAAAAAAGCTAGTTGTTTTCACTTACGTTGAATACTATCCTAAAACAGGCTGGTAAAATATTTTTAAACAATCTCAATTTTTCACAGAAGAGAAAAATCGAGGTTAAGCCACAATTTACAAAGCCCTGGAATGCTAATCAAGTGCCTGAGATTGAAAAGCTGTACCTTTGTTCATTACAGCTGAACTCTTTCCCTCCAGGTTTCAGTAGTTACTTGACAGCTGTGTCAAGTTGGGTCAGTTACACAATTCCTTGAACACTCATTTTCTCATCTATTAAAATGTGAACAAACCTCCACGAAAAAAATATTAAGATTAAAATACACAAATCACCTAGCACAACTATTGGCATAAAAGAGGCACGCAACAAATTACAGAATCCTTTTCGCCTGAATGCCAGAGCAAGCGCTCTTTTAAAATTCGACTTGAAGACAGGGACCTTTTCTTGTTCATCCTTGTAACCCTTTGTGCCATGCCTGACAGGCACACGCACTTCTCCCTTCTTTTCCGTTCCTAAATGTTCAAACATATACTTTATTCACCTCGTACCTCAGTAAGCTTTAATAAGAAACATATTGGTATTTTTACACTTGCATAGACAAGTAATAAGAAACGATAGCTCTAAAGATTTCCCTTTCGACTGTTTTCTATTTCTCTAGAGTGTGTGAATATTTGTTTTTGCAAAATATCTAACATCGTTACCTGACCTACCTCCTTATTCACAAAGCCTTCCTTAAGATAGTTTTCAACCTCGGGTCTCAAAGATATCTTAGGGAAAACAGACATTTTCCCTGTTGTTTAGCTCTCCACCAAGAGAAATGCTGGAAAACGGTGTTTTTTCCTCTTTGCGAATTAATAGTGACGAGTGGCTTGACACCAGGTACTGAAGAAAATCTAGCCGATCAAGCTGAGTTAAATTCGGAGATGCAGAGATAAGTCCACGCTTTTTCAAACCTAGCCGATTAGAAGCGGCTGCCTGGTCTCCACCACACCTCATCGAGGTAATGTTTTCTCGTGGAGATGGTCACGGAAATCACTGAGCCAATACCACTCACGTTGCAAAGAACCAAAAAAAGAAAAAAAAAAAAAAAAAAGCTTAGTAATTGAATCTGTGCTGAGACGGACGCAAATCAGTAACGCAGACTATCAGCAGCTCGCTCGCTTTCCATCTTTTGTACCAATTTCCAAACACGCGCCCCCTATTTCTCGGCGGAAAGTCGCTTCCGGCTTACGTCACGTCCGGCGCCTGCGGTCCACTCTTTTTCCGGTCCCCCAATCAGCACCCGCAAATTTCCCCAACGTTACGCCACGTCACGCCCCCGGAGGTTCCTAACCCTGTGGGGGAAGGGCTTTTTCCTGCTGCGTGTCCTGGGGAGACTTAAGCAGGCAGGGGCCGCTGGCGAGACGGATGAAAATATTTAGTTCTCGGTACTGGAGAGCTGGGTCCCAGGAGCAATGGAAAAATGGCCAAATGGCGTGTGGAAGATGTTGCTGGTCTGAATAAAGGCACGGGCCCAGTTGCTGTGTTGCTGCATGTCCTCCAAGTAGAGGATGAGGCCAGGACTTGGACGCATCAGCCACCGTTGGATTTTATGAAATGATTTTGCCTCTCTCAGGAGTACAGATCTGGCTTTAGTTGTTAAGTTCATATTTTTGAAAGTTAGGTTAATGGTGTGTTAATATCCAATCATGAAGTAATACTTAAAATCCACAGATAGTATTTACCGTTGTTTATAAGGCTAACTGCTACTTGTATCAGTTGACATATACTTTAGAGCTTGAGAGACCTTTGCCACGATTTTTTTTTATGATCATAAGTAGACAACGATATAAATTTAAAAAACGAGAGTACCTAACCAAAGTCATTGAGCCATTTTATGATTGTACAGTAAAATCAAAATAGTTCTCCTGTCTCTTTGCCATATGCTTTTTGCAGCACACCATGGTAATTTACACATAACTATAGGAAAGGGGTTTTTTTCTCTAATTTTCACACCAAATTATACACACACACACACGCACACGCACACACACAGAACAAGTACTTTCTATGATACACCAACTCCTTACCAGAGAGAGTAGAAAATATTGTATGGCCATTATACCATACGATAACCTGCAAGGTGTTTATCATTTTCTCTTCTTTTTTTTTGAGCTGTCACCCAGGCTGGAGTGGAATGGTGGGATCTCCACTCGTTGCAACTTCCACCTCCCAGTTCAAGAGATACTCCTGCCTCGGCTTTCAGAGTAGCTGGGATTACAGACATGCACCACCAGGCCCGGCTAATTTTTGTATTTTTAGTAGAGATGGGGTTTCCCCATGTTGGCCAGGCTGGTCTCAAACTCTTGACCTCAAATGATCTGCCCGCCTCGGCCTCCCAAAGTGCTGGGATTACAGGCGTAAGCCACCATTCCTGGCCCATTTTCTCTGTTTTAAAGAGTAAATCAAGGTTCCCAGGGTTGAAATAACTTTCCATGGTCTCACAAATAAAAAGCCAGGATGAAGACTGGTAATTTGGCTTCTAGAGCCAATACCTTGTCATTGACCATAGCATATTTATTCAATAAATCCATGGGATTCTTTCACAGCTGAAAGATCTGAAAGTGATCTATGTCTAAATCAGACATTAGGATCACCTGGGTTCAAGCGATCCTCCTGCCTCAGCTTCCTGACTAGCTGGTGTTACTGATGTCCGCCACCAAGTCCAGCCAGACTGTAACTAACTTCTAACTAGTCCTTCCTTTTTCATATTTTTCCAGGTCATCTTTTTATTTCTTCTATGATAAGCATGCCTCTTTTTACTGGTCAAAATGTTATTTCAGATTGATCCTGGAAGAAAGGTCTTAATTCTGCTTCTAGCTATCTCCATTCAAAGAAAATTCTTTCCCTCCTAATTTTAATCCTATTTATCAGTCCCACCTAATCTAGAGACTCATCAACTAAAAATACAAAAATTAGCCACGTTTGATGGCACATGCCTGTAATCCCAGCTACTGAGGAGGCTGAGGCAAGAGAACCGCTTGAACCCAGGAGGCGGGGGTTGCAGTGAGCTGAGATTGCACCACTGCACTTTGGCCTGGGTGACAGAGCAAGACTTTATCTCAAAAAAAAAAAAGTAATGGACAAATTGATCTGAGTTGTATGAGTAATAAATTGAATTTAATTACAGCTACAGCTAGCTCTTCCGAGTATTATCTGAAGTTACTTTATAATAGTGCCTTTTAAAAACATATTAGATATAGTTTTATTTTTTAAATTCCCAAGTTGTTTGGCATTTTCTTCCTTGAACTCTTTAAAATATTTTGTTGAACTGGGCAGAAAACTTACTGGGATTTCAATTTAATTAAAGGAATTAACTTCCCATGAACACTTATGAAAATAAGTTATGAGGCCGGGCGCGGTGGCTCACGCCTATAATCCCAGCACTTTGGGAGGCCGAGGCGGGTGGATCGCGAGGTCAAGAGATCGAGACCATCTGGTCAACATGGTGAAACCTCGTCTCTACAAAAAATGCAAAAATTAGCTGGGCATGGTGGCGCGTGCCTGGAATCCCAGCTACTCGGGAGGCTGAGGCAGGAGAATTGCTTGAACTCAGGAGGCGGAGGTTGGGGTGAGCCGAGATCGCGCCATTGCACTCCAGCCTGGGTAACAAGAACGAAACTCCGTCTCAAAAAAAGAAAAAAGAAAAAGAAAAAGAAAAAAGAAAAGAAAAAGAAAAAAGAAAAAAAGAAAATAAGTTATTATCCCCCCCCCCCCCACTTTTTTTTGGTTCAGACAGGGTCTCACTCTGTCACCTAGGCTGGAGTCCAGAGGCACCATCTTAACCCACTGCAGCCTCGACCTCCCTGGCTCAAATGAGCCTCTTGCCTCAGCCACCCCATTAGTTGGGGCTACACGTGTGCAACAACATGTTCATCTAATATTTGTATTTTTTGTAGAGACAGGATTTCCCCATGTTTTCCAGACTGGTCTAAAATTCCTGGGCTCAAGCAATCCACCTGCCTTTGCCTCTCAAAGCGCTAGCATCATAGGCATGAGCCACCGCCTGCAAAATTCATTTGAATGTATTTTTTCTAATAGATTGATAGATACATCAGCATGATTTCTGCATAGATAATATACAACTATATTCTATTAATCATATTACTTTTAATAATTATGGCTAGTTTTATTCCCCTCTAGTTTGTAAAAATTTTAGATTTCCAAATCAGCAAATAAAACTTTTAAATATGAAAAAATATTTTTAAAACATTAGAACAGTCTCATTGTCAGGTAAATTGATCATAAAAAAAGGTGTTAAAAGTAAATTTTAACAAGCTGAAAACTTCAACATTAAAGTTTTCTTAAATTTCAAAGAAGCAAAATCAATAAAAATATCAACAGTCCTCTTCAAATAAATATTCATTCCACTTCGTTAAAAGTGGAAGTATAATTCAAACTTAACTGTCTCTAAAATATCATAAAAATGTTTAAGAAATCATTAGCTTTTTGTTTCAAATCTCTGCATTTTCATACCAAGATGCTTTGTTCTTTTCAGAAATGGTTTCTTAGAAATCCGAAAGCCAGGGGAAAAAAAGCAGAATGTGGTTTATATCCAAGTCTAACAATTTTAGAAGCTGTTACAGAATCTAGTTTGCTGTGTAATAATGAAGCTAGGACTAAAAATGTCCCTTTAAGCCATTACACAAATACAAAATTTTACACAAATACACAAATTATTTACACAAATACAAAATTATTCGTTTATGGTCCAACTGATAGACATGAAAGTTAAGTTTGAACTGGGTGAGGTGGCTCACGCCTGTAATCCCAGGACTTTGGGAGGCCAAGGTGGGTGGATCACGAGGTCAGGAGATCGAGACTATCCCGTCTCTACTAAAAATACAAAACATTAGCCAGGCATGGTGGTACGCGCCTGTATTCCCAGCTACATGGGAGGCTGAAGCGGGAGAATCGCTTGAACCAGGGAGGAGGAGTTTGCAGTGAGTCGAGATCTCGACACTGCACTCCAGCCTGGGTGACAGAGCCAGACTCTGTCTCAAAAAACAAAAAAGAAAGAAAAGAAAGTTAAGTTTGCATAGGCTCCATACATTCTTTTTCCTCTACACAGGAGATTGAAACTTGCCTTTAATATCATGACGTTGGAGCATGTTTTCCTGTCTAAGTCTTAAATGGTCTTTAAACCATAGCACTGGAAAGACATAAGTCATACATTCTCTTTCTACAGGTTAACTTAATAGTTTGGCAAGTTAAAAAGTCCACGTTGCCAAGGTTAAAATCCAACCATCTGACTGAAGTCATAGTCTTTTAAGCTTGCTCCTCTGTCAGCTGGTTTCAAGGACATTCAGTTTCGATTCATTCCAGGCTGCGAAACTTTTCAATGGTAAAACCTAATCATGGAAAGTGAAATTGAAAACAATTACGTAGTGAATTGGCTTATGCGTGGATTTCGATCTGGGATCCAGGAGCATACCTAATGCCTGGCAAAATGGGGAGGGCTGCTATGTGCTATTATGTTATTATTAATCATATAACTGAACTCTGTGGCTACAGGCATTCCATGTCTCGTCTCCCGATCAATTCTTTTCAGAGCTGAAAATCATGACAGGGGCCGGGCGCGGTGGCTCAACGCCTGTAATACCAGCACTTTGGAAAGCTGAGGCAGGAAGATTGCTTGAGCCCAGGAGATTGAGACACCCTTGTCTCCAGTGGATCAATCAATCAATCAATCGAGTACATGGATGAATGAATAAGCAATGAATTCGTGAATAAACAGATGAATACATGAAAGAAAGAGAATCACGGCAGAATTTCTAACCCCTAGCACGCCTACAGGGGAACAGGAAGAAGTCAGGAAACAAACACTCTTCACTTTTGTGAGTTCTCTAAGGGCAGCAAACGGCGGTTGTTCAATTAGAGAACCTATGGTCTTTCCTGGCTTAAAGGCCAGGGTCGCTGCTGCTAGCAGCAGAGAGATTCAAATCTAAGGGGAGTCCCACAAACGCTCTGAAGGCTGACATGAGAGGGACCAAGCACCGAGGAAAATTCCCCACCTCGCGGCGTTACCGCAAATTCCCAGACGCCGGCCAGTTTGGGACCCGCCCTCCGGAAGTGAAGCCGGAGAAACGCCACGTCGAAGGCGCGGGTTGACGTAAGCGCGCCCACGTCACGCGCCCAGCTTCCGGCGATGGGTGGTCCTGGGATCGGGAGGGGAGGCGGGGCGGAGGTGGGGCTTGGGGCTGAGAGAGGCTCTGTTGGGTAGGTGGGTTCAGACCGAGGGGACTACGGGTCGGCGTTGGGCTCAGCGGGCTCGAAACAAAGGACTATCCGGT